TATATATATATATATTTTTAACTCAAAAGAATTCCGTCGAAATGAACGAGTTTCAGTCTAACAAGACTCCAAAATTATAAATCAGTGCATCACACCTGTCTCTTATACACATCTAGATGTGTATAAGAGACAGGACAAGGGGGAGGAGGTGAGAGAGAAAAGAGAGAGAGAGAGAGAGAGAGAGAGAGAGAGAGAGAGAGAGAGAGAGAGAGAGAGAGAGAGTCTCCTTTTTTGGAGAGGATGGGGGAGGTGATTTTCCAAATACCCCCATAATTTGAGATATGTGTCAAAATGTCCCTAAAAGATATGGGCACAGTGGAATGGCCTTTTGGCCTGACATGTTTGTGTTATGCCCCTGTCAGGTGGGTGTGCAAATTCGCTTGGCGGCCTTGGCCTTTTCAATTGTACCTACCAAAACTTGACAACTGCCGGGCCGTTTTGCAAAGTTGGGCAGCGTCCGGTACGTGTACATTGCAAAGATGCAGTCCAACTGATGGCTGGGGTGTTTCACAAAATGTTTTTCTCATTGTCCTACGCTGCGGCGGGTCCCACTTGTAATAATAATAATAATAATAATAATAATAAATAATAATAATCAACACTAATCATTTACAGTTATGATGGTTGGCTGGACTGATTCTGCTATGCACAGAAGAGTGGAGATCAAGTTTTTTTTTTTTTTTTTTAATAGAAACTAATCTTTATTCTTCTCTCAATCTCTCTAAATATACTTTTCCTCATCTATCTCATCCTCTCAATTTGCTGGGTTCACCTGGCCCAAGTTCATGTTACTGTACATTCACTTGCTCCTGGCCAAGTTCCATGTTACTGCACATTACTGCGAATCAAGCCAACAAACAGCCATACCCAGAAAAGTCCAGCAGTCTGAGACTGAGAGGAGGGGGGGGGGGGGGGGGCATACTCACAACAGGACCTTTGGGACTCAGCTCTAGACGTGATTGCGGTCAGATACATCCAGGTCCAGGTGCAATGGCGATCAGGTGCATTTGGAAAAGCACTACCTTTTTCACCCGAATGGAATGCCCGGTCATTATAACTGTACCTGGACTGAAAATTACACCAAATACGGTTATAATGACCGGGTGTTCTATCGTACAGCCTGAGTCTGTGCACATCATCGAATCGTTGCCAAAAAACATTGAAGCTGGGTAGCACGGCGTACACGTACGCAGGCTCCACAAACGTGGAGAGGTGCATGCACGTACGCGCGCACATGTCGTGTAAGTGTACTCGCGTACTCAATTTTAGGGCCCACGTACGTGGTCGTAGCGGGCCAGTTTGAGGGCTGGACTTAGCCCCCTGGGCTAGGGGGTGGGCGCAGGGGCTCGGTGGGGTCCAGAGTGGGGTCGGGGGGTGACGCAGGTGTGTGTGTGTGTGTGTGTGTGTTGTCATATTCGCTATACACTCAAAAAAAGCATGACTGTACCAGACTCTCTGTGTGTGTGTGTGTGTGTGTGTGTGTGTGTGTGTGTGTGTAATTTTGGGGCCCGCGTACGTGGTCGTAGCGGGCCAGTTTGAGGGCTGGACTTAGCCCCGTGGGCTAGGGGGTGGGCGCAGGGGCTCGGTGGGGTCCAGAGTGGGGTCCAGAGTGGGGTCCAGAGTGGGGTCGGGGGATAACGCATGTGTGTGTGTGTG